CCCCCTCCTGGCCCTCCTCTCCCCCGCCTGGCCCCTCCCCTGCCCTGCCTCCTCGCAGGGTGCCCGCTCTCTCCCAGCTCTGGCTCTTCTCGCCCCTGGCAGATGCTGCTTCACCTCTTCTCTGATGCCAACTACAACCTGTTGGGCTTCAACGCCTCATTCTCCTTCTCGCTGTGCCCTGGCGGCTGTTCGGGCCGGGGCCTGTGTGAGCCCTCGGGCCTGTGCACCTGTGAGCCCGGCTGGGGTGGCCCTGCCTGTGCCCTCCAGGATTGCTCCACCTACTGCCACGAGCACGGCACCTGTGCCTCGGTGAGGACGCTTCCCCGGCCTCCTCTCTGGCCCAAGCTGTGGTCCTCGAGCCCGGCTTGCTGTGTCCACCTTGAGTTGACCGTCCCCCCACGTCCCAGTCTTGCCTCGCTCTTGGTCCCAGCTGCGTCGTCCTCTGACCTCGGTCTCCCCACAGGAGGCAGGCCCCTGCCGCTGTGAGCCTGGCTTCCTGGGCCGTGCCTGTGACCTGCGGCTGTGGGAGAACCAGGGGGCTGGCTGGTGGCACAACGTGAGCGCCAAGGATGCCGCCTTCCCGGCCCGCATCGGGGCTGCCGGCGCCTTCCTCTCGCCTCCGGGGCTGCTCGCTGTCTTTGGAGGTGCAGGCAGGGTCTGAGGAGCGGCGGGCCGGGCGAGGGCAGGGCTGCCCAACCTGGCCTCTGTGCCCAACCTAGCCTCCTGCCCCTCTCGCCCCTCCCAGGTCAGGACCTGAACTCAGCGCTGGGTGATCTCGTTCTATACAACTTCTCTGCCAACGCCTGGGAGCGGTGGGACCTGAGCCCGGGCCCGGTGAGGACCCCGAGTGGGCGTGCTCCCCCGCCCTGCCCGTGCCCGCCCTCGCTCTCTCCTCACTCTGCGTGCCCTTTGCCTCTACCCATCCTGGTCTCCCTGCCTGCTTCCCCCTGTTCTCTACACAAGCCCCGTCTCTGAGGCTGGACCTTGTCTCCCCATCAGGCTGCCCGTCATTCCCACGTGGCCGTGGCCTGGGCTGGCTCCCTGGTGCTCATGGGTGGGGAGCTGGCTGATGGCTCGCTGACCAGCGACGTGTGGGCCTTCAGCCCGCAAGCAGGGGGCCACTGGGAGCTGCTGGCCCCCCCCTCCTCGGGCCCCCCAGGCCTGGCCGGACATGCTGCTGCCCTGGTGGACGACTCTTGGCTATATATCTTTGGGGGCCGCACGCAGCATGACCTCTTCTCTTCGGGCCTCTTCCGCTTTCGCCTGGAGGGGCCTGGGTGGGGCCGAGGCCACTGGGAGGAGGTACAGCCGGCAGGCGGCCGGCCCCCAGCTGCCACTGGGCATTCCATGATCTTCCACCCGCCATCTCGGGCTCTGCTCGTCTATGGGGGCCACAGGCCTTCCACGGCCCGGTGAGTGGCCCAGGGCGGCACCCCTTCTTCCCCCATCTCGGCCCCCCAGGCATCCACTCGAGACCCCACCCCGCTTGTCCCAACTCTCTTCACCCTCTAGGTTCTCCGTACGAGTGAATTCTACTGAGCTCTTCCACGTGGACCTGCGTATGTGGACCTCCTTGCGTGGCCGGGACGGTCAGCGGGGGCCCCGTGAGCGAGCCTTCCACACGGCCAGTGTCCTTGGCAACTACATGGTGGTCTATGGTGAGGGCATTCCCAACCCTCCAGCATTTGGGCTTGTAGCTGGCCCGGGGGCTCCTCCAGTGCCTGTCTATCCGGCTTCTCAAGCCCTTCTTGCCTAATTCCCTCCAGGGGTGCCTGACCCCTCCCCCCATCCTCTCCAGGGGTGCCTGACCCCTCCCACTCTTTCCAGGTATGCCCTCTCCCATACGTACCTGACTCCCCCCAGATGTGCCTCATCTCTCTTCCCCCACCTTGGTTCTCAGGTGGCAACGTGCACACTCACTACCAGGAGGAGAAATGTTATGAAGATGGCATCTTCTTCTACCATCTTGGCTGCCACCAGTGGGTGTCAGGAGCTGAGCTGGCTCCTCCAGGGACCCCTGAAGGTAGCCAATGCTTCTCAGGCCCTCTCCCCACTCAGTATCCCTCAGGAAGCCTCAGTCTGACCCCACCCCCACCCCCCACCCTGCATGCTCTGTCCTGACTCAGAGCTGAGGACCAAGGCCTAAGGGCTCCCTGAAGGTGGTGGCTGGGGCCCAGCCTTGGAGGATGGGGGGGCGGGGGCAGCTCCCGACCTCGCCCTCCTCCCTTGTCCCCCCAGGCCGAGCAGCACCCCCTGGGGGCCGGTATTCCCACGTGGCAGCTGTGCTGGGGGGCAGTGTCCTGCTGGTGGCTGGTGGGTACAGTGGGCGGCCCCGAGGGGACCTGATGGCTTACAAGGTGCCCCCCTTCGTGTTCCAGGCGCCAGCCCCGGATGTGAGCTCCTGTGGGGGATGGAGAAGGGGCACAGCCGTGGCGGGGGAATGGTGGCTGTAGAAATTAGTCCTGGAGGGTGGCCTTGGCCAGGTCTGAGCCAGAGCCAGGGGTCACA